TTTTGGTATTTTTACTGGGAAAGGGTCTCTTCTGGCAAGCTTTGAGGAGCAGCATGTCCTTAACTTTTGGAATGATGAGCATCTGCAAACCCCATTTCCCCATCTGTAAAGACTCCATCTCTGCATCCAGGCAAACACATCTCTTACAACACAAATGCAGGCACTCTCCCTCTGTATTTTTTTTCCAGCTATAGTAGGTGGCTTATTTAAAATAAGTTACTTTTCCCCCTACAAACCACACTTCTCTGAAGCTCTAGTCTCTAGTCTAGAGCTAGAACAGCACTAATCTAGCTAACTGCGCACTCCCTACTGCCACCTCCATTAGCCAATAGCAGAGCATGAAAAGCTCCAGGAGGGTGGAGAAGGAATTCAGGATAAAGAGCTGGTTTTCTCTGCCTGTCTTTTTCCCTTCATTTGGTCCCGTCTCTAATAGTGACAAAGCAATCTATTGTACCAACACAGGGTCTTCTATCAGTACCCCAGCAAATAATTGCAAAGAAAGATAGGAAAAGAGAAGGAAACAGAGAAATCACTTACATACAGGTAACAAAGGCCTTTAAATACTTCGAGGGACCATCCAAAAAGCAGTTGTAAATCATGACTGGATTTGTTTCTGGCTTGCAACCCATGCAAATCCAGAAATGTGCCCACCCTCACCTATCCTGACCCTAAAAATACAATAGCATTTTGTCTTTTGCTTTGAAGGTAAAGACACTGAATCTATAAACCTGTCTTTACTCAAAGGACATAGCAATGTTTATTTTATTTCTTTTTATATCTAACACAAAATATTTACCTTTTTTATTATAATCAAAATTCAGAAGGCTTTCAAGATGTATATTCCCCTTTAAAGCAGGAGCTTTGTAAATTGGTTCACTGAGGCCATTCCTCCTCTAAAGACTGTGGAGATCCCACCACATGTGCCACTGTATGTACAATGGGGGCAGCAAACACCTATACTCATCTAACTCAGCAGAGCCGGACCCCTTTTCTACTGGAATGATGGAAGCCTCGAAAAGAACAAAAACCCCAGGAAAGAAAAGTGATCAAAAACTGCAGATGGGTAATGTGGAGAGCTGGAAAGAAGACAACAGGACATCAGCTCCTGTGCTGTGGAAGTGGTAGCAGGAACAGCTACCTGGCTCTTTGTGCATGGAAAAATGCTCCTTTTCTCCATCTGTCCCAACCTGTATAACTGTGCCACCTTGCTCTTGTCAGATGGGACACTGCTATAGCTGAGTGGCTCCACACTTTGCTGCTTGTGACCAGTGAATCACAGATCATGAGAAAATCTGAACACAGCCACACAGTTATTGGTAATAAAGGTCTAGATTTCAACCCCAGCCATTCCCCACACCTTCACAGCTACACTGAAAAAAAAAAAGTTTGAAAAGACGACACCCCAATGTCCAGTGTCAGAAGTTGTACAACTTTATTTTATCCCTCTTTTCCAGTACTTCACAATGTGCTTTTGTGATTCTATTACTCTGGATGGGTGGGACATGACAACCCATCTTTATATGCTTCTTCACCGAGCTGCTACCAGGAGAACAACATCTTCCCTATTTCCAATGAGGACAGGAGATGAGGTAGCAAGCTTAGACTGTTTTAGTGCACATCTGTGCTAGACTTTAGGGGAACTTCATAATGGTGAAGCTGGTAAAGCACTGTGACAGACTGCTTGGAAAAGTCTATCACATGGTGTGTTTAAGAACAGGAGAGGTACCTTACCTCATAGGAAAACATAAGTGTAGCTGCCCCTTGCTTGGGGTGAGAGGGAAAGATCTCACAGCTTCCCAAGGATCATTTAGTCTGGTAATCACAGAATTCACTTTTCTTTTTATATGACCTCTCTGGTGTCTCCACATAGAAAAATCACCTGTTCTCAGGCAGGCAGCATCAGTACCTCACCCCTGGACAATTTGTTTTTTATGAAGTTTATCTACAAAGATGTTTAGAAAGTCAGTTGGGGAATAAAAATTGGATCTTGAAAAACCATTCTTAGAGAATGGCTGGAAAAACCTGAAAGAATGAGTTCCAGGGTCACAAAAGGAGCAGTCCAGAAAAGACATAAATGTTGATTTTAGCACAACAAGTCATAAAGAAAAACAATATGTGATCATGTGAAGACTGCTTCATCATATTCATGCAGAAGTAAACCAAATTAGATCTGCTCTGGCAAAACTAAATTTCCTAAAATCTAAATGCTGGACTTCTACAACTTTAGTGTCTTAGAAACATTGCCTGACTGCATCTGTTTGTCTCATCTCCAGCTTCTGTTGGAGGAAAAGGAAGGGGACAGAGGTAAACACAACAAAATCCCTCCCTTCCCCCTTGGCAACCATAGTATAACTTTCTGATCCATGCACAGATCTCTGATGCTGACCTCTAGGATTTAAAATTTAAAAAGAAAATAATTGTTTGTGATCTGCTGTGGATGAGAGAGTAGTAGGACACTCCCAGTGGATTTTATTGGCAATGGAGAGATACTGGATCAGTAATTCATGTATTTAGTTCTAGGGCAGGGAGGGGAGCATTCTGTGAGGCTGTGCCCTTCTGCCTTTGGTTTGCCTCTATACTTTCTTGCCTGTCACTGTCTTCACAGTCTCTTCATCTAACCAGTTCTGCCTCCACGCCTCAACGTTTTCATTTTTATCCCCACTTCCTTGATTAGCAAGTCCTGCTATGACTGGTTTGGGACAGCTTGAGACAATCTCTATACCAAATCACTCTCAATCCTCTGCCACCTCCCGAGGTCTGTTCTTGCCCCACCCCAATTTGCTGTGCACCTTTTTCCCCCATATTTTTTCTTTCCAAAAGCAAGAAATCCACTGGATTTTAGTTCTAGTCCCTGTCTCCCAGCTTTACAGCTACCTCAACCGTCTTTCCCATTCACTGTCTGTCACCACACTTAACAAGCCAGCTGTATCTTCACTGCACTCCAGCCCAGCTCCTGCTCCAGTAATAGAGCTGCCACTTCTTTGCAATCTGCTCAGCCAGCTTCCATTGCTGCCTCCAGTGAAGGCAACACAAGTGACAGTGCAGGAAAACAGCTCCAGGTACTCATTTTCAATGGTCAGACCCAAATCAAACATGGATCATTTGGACCAGCGCTATTACTGCAGTGGAAAGTCCTGATTTGCCTTAGGTTATAGATATTTCAGGGCACACAAACTTCAGATAATGTCTGCAATAATGTTGCAAGAACGTAGTTCAGTTTAGTTTATGTTGGCCAAACTTGGCAGGAATGAAAGCATAGTGTATCACTACCTAATGAGCCTTCACAAACTTGAAAAGTATGCTCCAAAGCATACCTGTATTACAATCTTGTAGAGAAATCAGATCAAATTATTTATTTTTCATTTCCTGCAACAACTAAGTTGACTAATTAAAAAAAACCAACCTGCTAGTGACATCCAACATCAGTAATTTCATTCACAATAATTATCAAAATTATAACCAACCAAATTTGGAGTCCTCTACCAGGAAATGGTGGACATTATAGAAATAACTGGATTCAACTGTAACAATATTTGCTCTAATGTCCAGTCTTTTTTTTCTTTGCAGACTGCACACAGGCACAAATGTAAAGGCTAGAGACTTATCGTGATCTCACTTCAGTTTTAATTATGCATATTTTCTTTTTCATTAAGCTGGTTGTTCCTACTTTCTATCATAATGAGGTCAAGAGTTCCACCTTTCTGTGTTAATTCATAGAAAAAAAATCTTGTTTTAAAGGTGGATAGAATGGATCTTCATTCATCTTAAGCAAAAATTAAATAAATTAAGAATCATATAACTAGAACTTTAACCATCAAGTGTAATTGAACTAGCAAGACCACACTCTTAGGCATTCTACTTGAAAGAGCTACTACTACCATAAGCAAAAGTGGAACTTACATCCTTTTGAATCTGAGAGTTGTAGAAAGTTTCTGGTTTTTTTACATAGTTAGCCACTTGTCAGCTATTAGCTGAAGTACTTATTTTTCTGGATTACTTGCTTTGCTGCCTGTTTTTAGTCTGCAGATGTTGTGGAATTCCGGGTAGACACACTCAAGAGCCTGCCCATTAAAACGCCCTGCACTTGGAAATAAGCCCTCAGATAACGAACACAAAATCACAATGTCTGTGTGGGGAGGAATAAGGGCAAGGGGCTTAAGACATGGGCAAGAAGCAAGAAGGGACCTAAGGCAAGGAGCTCTTGTCTTCTGGGTGCGTAGCAGCTGCTGTGTGACCCCCTTTGTACAACACAGAGTGTTGTTGCAGGATGAAAAACGTGGGGCAGGTCTGTACCGTCCCTGTACTGCAGGTAATGTGTGAATTCCACATGTGACTTCACAGTGCACACACATCCATCCATCCACCTATCCATATATACAGCTGGGCAGCTGTACTCAAATGGGTAACAGACCATGGCCAAAGGGTGGGGAAAGTGTTAACACCAGGTCAGGATACTGCAACAATCCTGAGGCAAGGCTAACCTCAGTAATTACTTTCACCATTACTGTTTAATATTCAGTACCCATAGGAATACTAATGTCCAGTGCACTGCAAGATGCAATTATCAAATGCATTGTCATGAAAGGGCAGTGTAAAGGTGGTGGGAGAGCAATCACTTTTTTTCCTTTTTTTTTTTTCTGGATATCTAAATAGTATGAGAATTTTATCTATTTCTTGGTTCACCTTAAGACTGTCATTTTTTCAAATAGTCTTACTTTCAGGTGTTGGATCCTGAATTTTTTACAATCAATGTGGTGACTGGATGGCAGGTGCTGACCAAGCAGCTCTATCATTCCTCTCCTCAGTAGGACAGGAAAGAGTGAATCTAACAAAAGTCTCATGAGTTGAGAGAGGGGCCAGGAGAGATCACTCACCAATCACTGTCACAGGTAAAACAGACTTGACTTGGAGAAAATTAATTTATTGCCAATCAAAATCAGAGTACAATAATGAGATATAAACCCAAATCTTAAAACAGCTTCCTCCCACCCCTCCCTTCTTCCTGGTCTCAATTTCAGTCCTGATTTTCTCTATCTCCCCTGGCCAGTGGGGCAGAAGGATGGAGAATGGGAGTTACAATCAGTTCATCACATGTTGTCTTTGCCGCTCCTTCCTTTTCAGTGGGAGGACAGCTCATGCTCTTCCCCTCTTCCCTCCCACAGGAAACAGTCCTCCACAAACTTCTCCAACCTGAGTCCTTCCCACAGGTTGCAGTTCTTTTCAAACTGCTCCAGCACGGGTCCCTTCCATGGGGTGCAGTCCATCATGAACAGGCTGCTCTAGCGTAGGTCCCCCGCAGCATCAGAAGTCCTGCCAGCACACCTGCTCCAGTGTGGGCTCCTGTCCTACTAGGAGCCTGCTCCAGCACAGGCTTTTCATGGGATCACAGCCTCCTTTTGGCATTCACCTTCTCCGGTGTGGGGTGCTCCACGTTCTGCAGGTGGATCTCTATTCCCCCATGGACCTCCATGGGCTGCAGTGGGACAACCTGTCTCACCGTGATCTGCATGATGGGCTGCAGGGGAACCTCTGCTCTGGTGCCTGAAGCACTTCCTCCCCCTTCTTCTACACTGACCCTGGTGTCTGCAGGGCTGTTTCTTCTCACTCATCTCTCTGAACGCAGTTACTGTTGCACAGGTTTTTTCCCTCCTTCTTAAATCTTTAATCCCAGAGGTGCTGCCACCGTCACTGCTGGGCTCAGCACTGGCCAGCAGTGGGTCCATCTTGGGCCCAGCTGCAATTGACTCTGTCGGACGTGGGGGAAGCTTCTAACAGAAGCAAACAAGTCTTGTGGCGTATTCCCTCTGGGCATCTGCCTAAAACTTATAAATAAACACAAGTGACATTAGCCAGTAAAATCCACATATAGCTAGAGTACAAGTCAAAAATCAACTATTCTTTATTAAAACATAAGCTGGAAAAAATTCTCTCTCTATATATACATATATATATTTACAGGTTTTCAAATCAATTATCTCTATACCCACTCTCGATGAATCATTCATGCAAAAATTATTTTTAGTCTTTCATATTCATTCAAAACAAAACTTGAGCTCCAATGATGCTGACAATGTTCCATTTTTATTGCTAGCAATATGGTAGCACTAGTGGCAACATCAGCACAACAGTAGCCTCTTGTACCAAACCCCAAACTTCCATCTGTGGACTAAAAGACAAGTTACAAAAGCTAGCTAATTAAACTTCCCAACTTGCAACCTCTGAAATCAAAGCTCAGAGAAAGAAAATATCCTGTGGCAGGATATAGAGGAAAGCTGAGGCAGATTTTTAGACCAGAGGAAAAACACGAGGATTTGAAATGCTGTGCTTTAATTATAAGTGCAGTAATTCACAGCTATCATTTTATTTACCTTCCATGCCTCTCAACTATTATTTCCAGTTGTCACAAACAACACCAGATGTGGCATGACATATGAAGCTCTGCAATTTTCCAACATTTTATTTCTTATGCTGAGGAAATCATAGCTTTCTCTTGAGCATCAGGCCTTCTATTTACAAAACATCCATAGGCTTCATTTTTATATTAGTAGTGACCCATCTTAACACTGTAAAACTGTGCAGGCTTTAATCAAAGTTTCCCATTATGGATTTCACCTCCTACTCACCCAACGTGGCTGTACCGTAAATTCAACCTACTTATTGTTTTACTGTGTCCCTCAGCAGCTTGAGGTGAAGTTGCAAACACATACATTCATCTGTGTAGGTGTTGATATACACTGAAGCTTGAGATCAAACTGTGGATGTTTATACGTGATCTCGATCTTCACCTGTGCCAAAGTGAATCTTTCCTCTGGGTTTCAAAGCATGCTGGTGAGCTTCAAAGTAAACATATAGAAGCACATTTAGTAATGTTTATTTACCTAAATATTCATTCTTTGCTGGGGAGAGATTTCTGAACATGGTGGTTGCTGCCTGTATCAAACCAACAGTGAGCTGGTGCAGCATCATGTTTCTAGTACAGGATATTACTGAATGCTTCATCAGAAGGCTCAAGAACAGAACATAGAATAAACCACTCACAGGAGAAGTTTCTTCCAAATCTTGTGAAGTTAACTTTTGGTTTTTTCTATTGAAACATAAAGATTTTAATTCTACCCATTTTTCCTTTTACAAAGTACCAGGCAATGCACCTATTGCTATAAAAACACCTGTTTCTTTCCTCAACTAATCCATTCTCATATATTTGAAAAACTCCATTTCCCTCAACTTGAAACCTGCAGACTCATGCAAGACTTTCCATTACCACATTTGGCAGTCACTGTCACTGTTACTCTATATTTTTGGGAAAAACTCCAAATTAATTGAAGATGTCATTAAAGATGTACAACTACTCAAGCCCTCCTTAGGCTCCTTTATCAAGAACAGCTCTAAAGGTTTTTTTAAATAAAAGTTTTAATTACAAATACCCACAGCATAGATAAAAAAAGAAATGTTCCAAGCACAATGGCACATGGGAACTCTCTAGATGACATTGGTCAAATGGTATTTAGAGGATTGCCAATATGAATGCTAGCGCTCTTCCTTATGAACATATTGATAATGTGCATTATGCAATATGCAATGATCTAGATCTTACTCTTTTGCATTGACACTTAAGCAGAAAAGCATTCACATTATTTTCCTTACTGAAACCAGAAGATTGTGGAAGAGGAAGAAACAGAAAAGCTTAGGAAGTAACTCAGTAGCTGAGATTGCAGATTTCAACAGTTGAGTTGTCTGATTTAGAACCTGCCTGACCTGAACTGTTCTGAGGAAGCTAAGGCAGTGCTTGAGCAATAGGCCATTAGCAAATTTTATATTGGTTAAGCTAAGCTGTCTCAGCTGCTGGACAAAGTGCTATTGTTTCCTCATTCTTCTGCATGAACTCTGCCCCACATGTTAACAAAGCCAGCAAGACCCATTTCCATTCCATTTCAGCTAAAAGCAAAAGACTTCCAGCAACAGCACATTTAACCCTGCCTAGAGAGCTGGGTTGTGAGAGCAATTCCAGAATATACTCTGATGCTTTTGGAAGAGAATTACCGTATTGTTGCTGTAGAGGTTTCATTCTTCTCTAGCAGGAGTTTTTTCTTTAAAAAATAAAGTAAGTTTCCTTAAACAGAAGACCCATGATAAAAATGAAAGGTAAATTCACAGGGGTAACAGGATCATACAGCAGTGGAAAGTAAAGTCTGTTGCGATGAGGGCAGAAGCTTGGTGAACTAGGCAATTAGACAGTATTTTATATAGCTCTGTAACACAAAACTCCCCTATGAAAATGGGAGAGTGGCCTTAGGAGATTTCCTAAACTACATACTTTTAGTTTAAAAGGTTTTCTATTTAAAGCCTCTTCAAGGGTACACAGGAGATTCCTTAACACCCTCTACCATTCCTATTTTGAGAGCTGCCCTGTTACTCCAGGACTGAGGACAAAACATTTCAAGTGTGTGAAGGCAACCTCAATTAGTGCCATTTCTCCCTATTTCTGAAGTGGATTATCAGCTCCTTTCCACTTCCTGACCCTCATAGAATTGTCCTTGAGACTGCTGAATCCCATAGAGAAAAATATATTTCCAGACTCCTCTGGGTCCATTCCTCTGAACTTGTCCAATCTTCATCTTTCAAGGTTCAAATCTTTGGGCAGAAACCCTGTATGCTGCCATGTCCCATGGCAAAATACAGTCACGTCTGGAATCAGAAGGAGGAAGGGGAAAGCCCTCAGAATATGCAGCAGCCATTGTGAATAAAACTGTTGTGCTTTGCTTAATACACATTTAAGTGTTACTTTGTTTGTTGTTGTTTTTTTTAACTACATAATAAAGCATGGCATTTTTTTTGCTCAAATAGATTAAATAACATTGAGAAAGTAAATTTATATAATAACATTTATATAATATACACGGTTGCTGGCTCTAGCATCTCTGTATAAGCAACAGGAAACATTGTTGAAAGGGAACCTTACACAACCTGAAGTGAACTGATTGCAAATTACTGTTTTCAAACCAAGAAAAGCTTCTGTACCTGGCATTTTTTTCCCAAGAGAGCAGTTTCACAGGTCCAGAGGTCAAGGAGCACAGGGCATTGATCCAGAGACACGTGCCCAGCCAAGGACGTTGCTGCCACTGAATCGCTCACAAGTTACATTGCCTGAGATGCACAAAAAAAGGAGAAAACAAGAAGATGTCAGTATCAGAGAGATTTCCACATGCCTACAGTCCCAGGGCTTGTGGTAGTTCTCTTTATTTATAGCACAGGATTGTGGTTTTTGCTTGCAGGGAACCCCAGGACAGAAAAAGATTTCAACTTCCATAAGCTTTGGCACATCCCAGAGTATCCTGCAAGGAGCCATTTGGTTTAAATGTATCTCTTCCATCATCTTTTAACAAATATTCTTTGAGAGGTTCAAGTTCAAAAGAACCACATCAAGAGATAAAGCCAAAGAAAACATATAAAAAATAGAGGAGGAAAGTGAATAGAAGCTTAATTTTTCCCAGCACCAAATCATGTTTGGATCATCTTCATCCCCTCACCTTAACCCTCAAATCAAAGATAAGCAATATATACTACTCAAAGATAAATTTTACTAAGAGATATAGCAGGCGAGACAGCAGGTTGAGGTGAGGGCTTTCTTTTCAGAAGGCTTACTACCAGAAAAGTTACTTTTCAAAATTTAAAAATTACTGTGAAAGGAGGAAAAAACATGCAGAATTAAAAATCAGCCTCGGTGTAAATAGAAGAGGCTTCCGCAGCTACTCTTCAGCTCCAGACTTGGACTTGTTTTTCAAAGCTGAACAAGAGAGTAATTTGAAGTCCATGATCACTGGAAAAGTCAGCATGGAAATAATGTTTAAGTCTATGGCACACAGAAAGAAACCATAACAAAAAGGAACATAGGGCAAGTTGTATATGATCAGTCCTCAGGATTACTGTGTGAGGGTGATAATTAAGTCACCTATAAACACAAGATCTGCTATTCCAGACTCATTCAGTAGCCTGCCTCCTGTGATGATGGAATCACAGAATGGTTGAGGTTGGAAGGGATCTCTGGAGGTCACTGAGCCAACCGCCTGCTCCCAAGCAGGGTCACATCAGGGTCAATTACCAGATTCTGAATATCCAGTCAGATTCTGAATATCTCCACCAGTCTCTCAGCAAACCTTTATCAGTGTTTGATCACATTCACAGTTAAAAATGTTTTCTTGTGTTCAGATAGAATTTCATATTTCAGTCTGTGCCCAGTGCCTTTGGTCCTGATGGCAGGGATGGCTGAGAAGAGTCTGGTCCCCTTATCTTCATTCTCTCTCATCAGGTGTTTATACACACTGATTAGTTTTCTCCTTACCCTTCTCCAGGCAGAACAGTCCTAGCTCTCTCAGTCTCTCCTCACGTGAAAGATGCTCCAGAAAAAGGGTTCACAATGAGGACCTTCTGGTGACTTCAAAAGAGGTCCTACCATCTATTTAGACATTCACAGGTTTGTAAAGATTTTTGATCATCTTGATGCTCAGGTCTGCCCTGCATTCTATCAGAATATTCAATCTTAGAGAAGCATACTAAAACATCAAAAGCATTATGCTACCAATACAGAAAGTAATCTCAATAATTTGATTTAAGAGATCTTTTATGGAATTCTCTGCACACTGTACATGTTTGTGCCGTTTATTCACTGTTTTCTAATGACCCTCCCCTCATACTTACTACAATTCCAAGCTTTTTCCTCCTCACCCATCCAGAAGTACAACTGCTCTTTTTTAGAAATCTGTCATACAGACTCCCTTAATTCATATCTTACTACTTAAAAAGGAAAAAAAGATAACCCAGAAAAAAAGGAAGTCTGGAATGTCAAGTAATTTGCGGATTCTTATTTACAGCTGAGAAAAGTTTAAAAGTGGTGGGAAGTAAATTTAGTTCTGTTAAAAAGCAATCCAATACATTAATTAAAAGACATTCAGAAACAATTAACATTTTTCTTTTCTGACTCTCTGTGCCTTGAAGATGTGCTAGCTCATTATATTACTTAGCTGCATCAATAAATGTCCTTCTGTGTTATTATTCCCTACAGGGTGACTTTGATGTCTGTGACCCTGAATAAGTGCAAAATTGTGACATTAACATCATGTGACAAGCAATTCCACATGCTCAGTTAGGTCTTTGTAGCACATTTATTACTTAGCTAACTAGGAGAATAAAGAAAAGTCCCACAAATCCAGTCAGTGCTTGATCTTGCAGAAATACAGCAACAATTCAAGGAGTCATGGGATTGACCTACCTTGAAAACAGCAAACTATCACAGGTCTTTTAGACCTGTGGATATCTTATGTTTATCTTTCTCAGTGTACTGGCTGGTCACAAGCACCAGCTGGTTCCCAAGCTCCTTTGGGTCCTCTAAATTCATATCATGTATTATGTAAACCCCTCACTGGTCTTGTGTATGAATACATCCATCTTCTCTAGTGTGAGAGTTGTCATGGTTTTCCACCTCTGCAAACTCCGTAAACAGAGTGCTGTGGACCTGTGCTATGAAAAAGAGACACATAGCAGCTGTCAGCTCTGAAAGGATTGCAATTCTGGATAATTAACCTAAGAGTGGACCTCGCCTCAGAACATGTCGCTAGCAGAGAACAACTAAATAAAATATTGCCAAAATATTTTTTACAGGGAACGCCCACACTGTGTCTTCATTTATACTACCACAGAGTCAGCCAAACTGTACGAAATTGTTACTGTGTCTAGTTTTTCCTTCAGTCATATACATTCACAAAAAACCATCAAGAAGGCATGAAAATGCAAAAGATTAGCTCTTGAACTAAGGTAGAACTTTTTTCCTTCTTCTAATCTAGCTCAAATTTGGCAAAATGTCTTAAATTCTGACATTCAAAGTCAACATATTTTTAAAGCCCTCTTGGCTAAGTTCCACTTTCAAGATTTGTAGATAAGTTCTCACACACAAGGACTTTAGCCCAATTATAAAGAATGCCCATTGACTGGTGTCCCAAATTGCTGTGAAATCAGCACTTGTTGAGTAGAATAGTTTAACAATGACCTTAATTTTCAAAAAAACCCCATCAGCATCTTTAAAAGAGAATTGTCTACCTTGGCAGTGAGTCATTAGCAACTAACTTAACACCCAGGCAAGAACTGAGTACTGCAGTCAGCAGAAGTGGTGTTAGTTTTCAAAAGATTCTGTTTCTTAACTGTAAGTGCCACGCAGAGAATTACATACATCTGTCTCTGGATGTATAATTACTAAAGTTAATCTTCCAGTGTAAATAAACACTTGGGGTATAGGGGTAATAGCCATGGAATTTTCTTAATGGTTCTTATTATAAGAAGCTAGCAAGCAAATACAAGGTTCTCCTTTTCCACTGTTTGTTTTTGCTATTTCCTGGTATGTAATGCACTTTTGTTCTCAGTTCAGTGCCAAATAATGACACACGATTTATTGGGACTTTCTGTTTTCAATGGCTGTCCTAACATCTGCCTTGACAAGATCTCCAGTGCTACCAAAAGTTTCCCTGTTAGCACCTGGGTGTCTAAACTTTTATTCAAAGAAAGGATGGAGAAAAGGAAAAGGTATTTCCTTCAGTCATGGAAATCTGAGTAAAATTTAAATGTATTCAGAAGAACAGCTTGCCAGCTTCAGAGATATGTACTGGATCAGAATTAATTCTGTACCATAAAGTTAATTAGGCAGCCCTGCAAAATGTACACCTAATTTGAACATAATGTTGGATAAGCCTGGTCAGATTCCTTTCCTTTTTTCCCTATGGTGTTCTGCACTCTCTGTTCTTTCCTTATTCTTCTGAACAGACTATTTGTTTCGCTGATCTTAATTATGTGGTGCAGAATTTGATAAAGGTTAAATCAAAGCCCTTTATAGAACAATTAAATTCAACTTGATTTAGGTAAATAACTGAGCAAATACTAGAGTGACTTCACCATAGCAGATAGGAGAGGGTTTTGGTTGTGTTTTTAAATATCCTTATGAAAACCTTTCATTGAAATATTTCCACTTTCAAGCTATTAATTTTTTTTTTCTGGTGATTCCTGCTCTGACTCATTCCTAAAAGTCTCAGTCAAGACTACTGCACTCAGCAAAAGGGGCATGTGACTACAAAACTGGAGAGCTCTTACAAAACAAAACTAAAAGGAAATGAAGACTTTCTTCCTATCATATTGGGAGACTCCATATGCGATTCATATTCTTAAGACACTGTCCATATTTTTAAGACACCTTCTAAATACAACTTATGCCTATAAAAAAATGTTATAACTCAGTTATATATCTATAGCAACAAATCGAGTAACTGGATATTTGTGTGGTCTTTTGCCTGCAGGTTTTGATTTTTCTCCTCTAGTTCTGCTCAGGTTTACTGGGACTTAACAAATCCCTTTTGGGTTATAAAGCAATATTTACACACCTACATATACTTTATCTACTTTCTTCCAAGCTGAATCTCCAAAAGTTTTAAGGTAGTATAATGCAACACATTGGTTTGCAGGGCCTTGTGTCATTATAACACACACGTCTGATCACCTCCATCTCAAACAGTCTGCCACACTGAATCAGAATCTCAGTTTTGGATACTTTTTGTGCTGAGCCGTCTCACCAGTTCACAGCTCACAACATAGAGGGATTCCTAACACAGGTACTCCTCCAACTTTGGGCATAGATTAAATGATAACATTTTTAAGAAACAATGCCATTCATTTTGTGTTTATATCACATGCTAGCAAGTATGCTAGATAGGTGTCAAGTAGTTTGCCTTTAAAATGGTTTTACTGTAGTTTCAGTTCTTGAAAGACAGTCTGTGCAATAAATTAAAAATAAACCCAAAACACATTAGAAACCGTTGTTCAGGAAATACTGTTACCTCTGCTTATAAATTCACTGCCAAATAAACTGTAATAGGATTAGTAAATATTTATCTAGGCTTTAGCTGAAGTTCAGGAGTATACATCCATATCCCTGTATTAGTCCAGAAGAAAGAGAGCCCAGTGTGCAACAATGTCTCTCTCATTGCTAGGGCTCTCTGAAGTACTTCACAGCTAATCTCTCCCGATCAGAGTGTGTACACAAAAGGTCAGAACTGATCTTTGCATCATTTCTTCTGCTACTGAAAAAAGAGGAATGAAGATAAAGGTATGCTACTTGGAATTTAGAAGGAGACTTTGTCCTAACACCT